TGTGTCGGAGATGGTGCAATTGGCACAGGACAGAGTTCAGGGATGTTGTACGTAGGGTCGCTATGAGTCGCAAGCGGCTCGATGGCACATAACAACAACAACATTAATCTTCTGCAGCAAGCGTTTCAGGTCCTCCTTGCTTGCAGTGAGCAAAGTTGTGTCATCTGCATTGACACAGATTGTTGATGAGTCTTCCTCTGAATCTGATGCCACATTCTTCTTCATATAGTCCAGTTTCACAAATTATTTGCTCAAGATACAGACTGAAGATACACACCCTTCCTCATTTTAAACAATGTATTGTTCTCTTCTTCCATTTAGACAACAGCTTCCTGGTCTAGGTATGGATTTCATATGAGCACAATTAAGTGTTCTGGGATTCTCATTCTCCTCACCTTTAGCCATGGATTGTGATCCACACAGTCAAATGCCTTGGCATAGTCATTAAAGCACAGATAGACATTCCTCAAGAATTCTCTGCTTTCGGCCAAGATCTATCTGACATCAGCAGTAATATTCCAGGTGCCACAGCCTCGTCTAAACCCAGCTTGAACTTCTGGCAGATTATAGCCAGTATACTCTTTGGATGATCTTCAGCAATATTTTGCTTGCATATATGATAGTAATGTTCAATAATTTCCACATTCATTTAGATCCCCTTTCCTGGAAATGGGGCACATAGTAGACATTCCTTATCTACTTATGTTGTGTTTATGAAGTACAATGCTGAATTATTTACACTAACCCTTTTTGTTTCATTTTCTTACAGATTTTGATCAACCTGATTTTAAGAGAAGCATAGTCTGTCTGGAAGATCTGCAGGTTGGGGCAGTTCTTACAGGCAAAGTCCAGAATGCCACGTTGTTTGGAATTTTTGTGGATATAGGCGTTGGGAAAGCAGGGCTGATTCCTATAAGAAATGTAACAGAAGCCAAACTTTCTAAAACAAAGAAGAGAAGGAGTCTCGGACTAGGCCCTGGAGAAAGAGTGGAAGTCCGAGTAGTACAAGTTGACCTTCCTCGATCCAGGATTACCCTGGACCTCATTCGGGTGTTGTAAACAGGCCGCTTAGGGCATTGGCTGTATTTTCTCATTTCTCCACACTGACAAAGATGATTCCGGTCCGATCTCTGAATTCTTTGTAGCAGAAGAGAAAGAATTAATCTGGTAATAAAAGTACTTTTAAAACATTTCCCCTCTTTATAAATGGAAAACTAACAATGTGTTTTCTTTTCTCCTTAAACAATACACTTAATAAACATCATTATGTAACCTTCTGTAGTAATGATTTTTCTCACAAGATTTTATTTTTATACTTGATCTTTGCCTCTTTTTACACTTTGTATAACCAGTTGCTTTACTTCTGCTCATGAACAGCTACTGCCTGCTGAATTTTTATGGGATTATATTTGGAATTATACAGTTCTTCCTGACACAATAAGACCAATGATGTTTAATCCTTTTATTTTATAGAATTTTTCTTTCACTTGGGTCTGTTGGACCAGCTTTGCAATTTTGTAGTAATTTATATTCTCTGTTAACAAGAAAACCAAAACCCTGATTTGTTTAAACTATTAAGTGAATTAGCTGAAAACATTTCTCAGAAGGATATGTGTATTGATTCTTACAATGAAATTTTGTTTCTAGTGAACTTGTTTGTGCTGTTCTGATTCGGGGGAACAAGATAAATTTGACTAAAGAAGAGGTGGCACATCTTCATGCAAATGACATATAAATACCTAGGCTTTTGAAGAATACGGAAACCTATCAGTATTTTAGGAATGACTTTCTGTTATTAGTTTGGCACAGAAGAACATATTTAACTGGAACTGTAAAGTCTGATCCTTAAATGAGCAAATAAATGACCTTGTTAAAGATTGACTAGAAAAAAAATATGCCTTGCATTGAGAATTATGTTGTTATTAAAAAATGTATATGTTTGGACAGATAATAGTTAATACAATTCAGTTGACAGCTTTAAGAAAGGGAGGATCTAAATGTGTGAAACAAAATGAGTAGAAAGAAATAATTAGCACCTAACACAATGTAAGGGGCATAACCTTTGTCATTGAACTGTTCATGTAGAAATTGTAAATGGGTCTTTGTTTACTCGTGTATACTGCCACCAAAAATAAAATATTAGAAAGAAAGAACTGAATCCCATGACTTCTCTTAAGAAATAGTTGCATTTTGTAAATGATTCAACTAAAATGAGACATGTTTCAAATAGATCAAATAAATTAAATGGAAAAAAGCTGGCCCAGTACATTGATCAGTCATACTGGAAGACAGATTTAGAACTGGAAATAATAGATAGTATGATTGTGCTTTTGTGAAACCTATACTTGGATCAGGAGACAGTCTTTAGAACAAGGAAACACTGCATAATCAGGAAAGGTATATGCCAGGGATGCATCTTATCTCCATACCTTTTCAGTTTATATGCAGAACACATCGTCTGGGAGGCCGTGTTTTATGAGTTGGGATGCCGTGCTTTATGAGTTGGGACATGACATCAGAATTGGAGGAAGACTCATTAACAACGTGCATATGCAGATGACACAGCCTTGCTTGCTGAAACTGAGGAAAACTGAGGCATTTGCTGCAGGTCAAGGATGGCAGCCTTCAGTATGGATAGAAGTTCAACATCAAGAAAACAAAGATTCTCACCATGGGGCCCATTGGCAGCATCATGATATATGATGAAGAGAATGAGTTTTAACAGCTTCAGCTTGCTTGGCTGCTCATTCAACAGTTGGTACCAGCAGCCAGGAAGTCAAAAGATTAATTGCATTGGGAAAATCTGCTGTCAGGCCTCGCCAGAGTACTAAGAGCAACAGTGTCTGTCTAGAGACTTAAGATGTGCCTGATCCAGGCCATTGTTTTCTCAATTTCATGCATCAGAGAGCTGGCAATGACTGAGAATGATAGAAGAAGAATCAGTGCCTTTGAGTTGTGGTGCTGGAGAAGAGTATTGAGTATATCAGTGACTACTAAGAGACCAAACAGGTTCATTCAGGAGAGGATGAAACCAGGCTACTTCTTGGAGGCAAATATTTTCAAGTTTTGTCTGATATACTTTGGGCATGTTGCAAGAAGGGACCAGTCCTTGGAGAGGGATATCATGTTTGGGAGGGTGGAGAGACAAAACAAGAGAGGAAGCCCCTCAATGAGATGGATTGTCTCAGTGACTAGGGTAATGGGGGTAGATGTGTCAGAGACAGTGAGATTGGCTCAAGATAGAGCAGGGTTCAGAGCTGTTGTATATAGGATTGCTATGAGTTGTAAGTGACTCAATGGCACATAACAGCAACATGGGGAATTAACTAGATTTTCACTATTTCCAGTGAACCACTGTTTCTGAACCATCCTCTTCTTCCTATTGTTTAAACTTTAGCTCACTTACTTTGGACACATCATCAGGAAAAAAAAAAACCAACAAACCTATCTGAAAAAAAGACATGACTGGTGAAGTACAAAGTCCCATGAAAATAAGGAAAACCCTCCATTAGATAGATTGTCACAATAGCCACACAAATGGAATTACCAAAGATAAGGATGAGACATTTCCTTCATATATTTCTTCCTACATTAAATCACCTTGAGTGAGAGCTGACTCAAAAGCCACTAACAGAATGCATTGACTTGTATCCTCCAAAAGAATATGTGGAAGTCACACCTCCTGGCAACTGTGATAATAACCTCATTTGGAAATGAGGATGTTGTGAGTTAACAGGAGGTCCTATTGGGGGAAATAAGTCCAAATCCAGTCTGAGGTAAGTCCTTGTAAAAAGAGCGGCAATCAGAAATAGAGGAAACATGGTCATGTGATGATAAATCTAAAAACCAAGGAACGACAGACATTACCAAAAATAACAAGAAAAAACTGTTCCTTAGAGCCCTCTATAACTATGAAGAGACCATGACTATGATGGCATCCTGAATTCAACCCGACCAGCCTTTAGAATTGTGAAATAATAAATTTCTGTTCTTATTTTTTAGAAAGATCAGACAGATCAGGTGAGAACGGATAAGAAAAATAATTAGATAAAGCCAGTGACTTCTACTAATGCGATTCAGTGGCAAAACTGATGAAGAAACCATCCAAGGCTAAATTATTTCAGTAGGTCCCTGCCTGAATTCAGATCTTGTCCATCTTGATTTTTTTTACTGATTTGTCTAGTGAGCATGATGGTGGACCTGATTTTCTTCGTATGAAATGTGTTTTCTCTGTGAGTAATGGTTACACATAACAATGGTTATGTGAAAAGAGTGATTGGCCCTACTGATTTGTCTGTGATAGTCCTGGTATACACTCCCTATGCTAGCTTTGTATAGTACCTATTTTTTTTTTCATTCTCATATTGCCCATTTTAGATGATAAAATGCATGATCATACTAGGAGTGAAAAGTATTTACACAGTGATGACTTTCACAGCACTTATTGTCAACTGGTTTGCTACTTTCAAAATATATAGCATATTATAGCTAGATTTTCTTAAGAATAGGTTTTAAGTATTAAACACCAGTGATCGAAGATTGAAAAGGCTGCATATAGATTGAAAAGGTACGGAGACAGGATGCATCCATCTCTAACACACTCCTTTCCTAATTTTGAACCATTCAGTGTTTTCTTGCTCTTTTCTGAGGACTGCTTTCTTGTCCAAGTATAGGTTTCACCGTACTAGCAGTCAGGAAATCAGGAGGCATACTGCACTGGGATAGTCTGCGTTTAAGGACCTCTTCAAATTATTGAAGTGTACTGATATCAGTTTGAGGACTAAGGTGCATCTGATTCAGGCCATGGTCTTTCCAGTCACTTTCTCTGCATCTGAGAGCTGGACAATAAATAAGGATGACAGAAGAATTGATTCCTTTGAGCTGTGGTGTTGGAGAAGAGCACTGAACATTCTGTGGGCTGCCAAAAGAATAAATATGTCTTGGATAAAGTGCAGCCCGAGTTCTGCTTGGAGGCAAAGATCATAAAGCTATACCTCACATACCTTGGGCATGTTGCTGGGAGAGGCTGTTCCTTGGAGAGGGACATGATGCTTGGAAAGACGGAAGGTCGGCAAAGGAGAGGAAGACTCTCAACTAGATGGATTGACATGATGACTGCCATGGTGGGCTCTAGTGGGTCAGGAAATCTGAGGATGGCACAAGATAGGACAGGATTCAGATCTGCTGTTCATAGGGTCACTATGGTTCCTACTCAACAGCATATAACAAAAATAACATTGCAGTAAGGCAGGCATAAAATAATGATGCCTTGGACTAGAATGGTGGTGGTGGTATGGTGACAAGTGATGGGATTCTGGGTAAAATTTGAACGTGGAACCAAACAGAATATCTTGGTATGTTGGATATAAGATAAGAACGAATAGAGACTAGAGTGACTTCAAAGATTATGGGCTAAGTAAGCAGATGGACAGAATTTTCCTCTGAGCTAAGAAAGCCCAACTGGACAGCAGCTAACAACTACAACAGCATAGCCATGAGAATGAAATCCCCAAAGTAATAAGTGAAGCTAAAGCAGAGAAGATATCGAAGTCTTGAATTGTTGAAAAATCTATGGTATTCAGCTCCAAATTCTTTGGACTCCTCCCAAAGGGCAGAAATTATTGGCAAAATTTGCTAGGTGTGTTTTCACTTCTTCACTTTTTCTTTACTACCATTACCAGCAGAATCCCAGCTGGACTCAGTGGGTCATTGCCCAATAAAAAATGCCAGGAAGAGGTAGGTTGATGAGCATATTTTGTTTTCACATGAACAAGTGAAAAGAAGATGGAGGCTCGTTTCTACTTCTTGACAGCTTTTCTTGAATGTTCATATAACAAGTCACTGTTTTTCTTCTGTGCTTTCCTTGTACCTGAAGGTTCTTGCAGTTAAAATAGAAATTATTAGTAAGGTTAAAGGTTGTTGGGAAGGAGATCTAGGGCTGTCTGTATCAGCTCAACTCTTTGGCTGTTTTTCTGGGTGTACCTGGCTTTGCTGTGAATAGAGAAGAAAGATGGTTTTGATCAGCATTTTGTGTAAAGAGGAAAAGCCAGAAAACAAGT